AAATAAAACCAAAGTTTTTTTTTTTTAGATAATGTAATCTTGTTAAAATTGATTTCATAAAATTGGTATCGAAAAAAGTATCGTTCAGGAACCGGTATCGAAGTCAAGTTATCGGTATCGATATCGAAAAATTTTGAACGATACCCAGCCCTAGTGATTAGTGACGAACGCGGAGAAAGAACAAAACAAAACGCATTAGAAACACAAGAAACACAAAATGAGGATTTGTAAAGAAAAATTTGGGAGGAGTTCGATATAAGCCAAGATTTTCCTTTGTTTCCTTTGCTAAAGTAAGGAAACTTTGCTTCCTTAAACAAACTTGCGAGAGTAGCATATCTCAGAGGCGCGCGCGATGCGTACGTCCTACGTCATCCGCCGGAACGCTTCCGCATGCGACAGTCAGCAGAAGTGAGAGAAAAGTGTTTATTATGTTTGAAATATGGATATTTTTCTTACAAAAATGCATGGATTCACCTCAGGAGGCCTTTATTCGTCCCCCGGAGCCGCGTGGGACACTTTTTATGATGGAAAAGTGTTAAGTGTTTATTATGTTTGAAATATGGATATTTTTCTTACAAAAATGCATGGATTCGCAACCTTTATTCATGCCAGGACAATTTTTAATATAACTCCGATTGGATTCGTCTGAAAGAAGAAAGTCATATACACCTAGGATGCCTCGAGGGTGAGTAAAACACAGGCTAATTTAAATTTTTGGGTGAACTAACCCTTGAAGTTAAAAGTAAAAAATGTTGATAGGACACAGTAGCATTTAATTTAAACCAAGTTTAGACTTGAAGCAAAAAAGCATGGTAAATATTTAACTGACAGACTTTTACCAGATTTAACCAGACAACTCTTGAGATGTTTCTTCACTTTTCTTCTTTTTCTTCTTTGCTTTTCAGAGAGAATATGCCAAGCCATTTTAAGTTTAAAGAGTATTGCCCTCTTGTTTTCCGTAATTTGAGAGAGAGGTTCAGCATCGATGACCAGGACTTCCAGGTAGGCTTTGTGAAAGAGAGAGAAATGATCCAATGTGTCACATTCAGTGTGTCTTAAAACCACAGCATATTACTGCAGTTGAACCACACAAAACACCAGTGTACTCACTACTAAACAATGCAAAATAGATTCAAGTCTCCGTGAGAAAAGCCCATGATTACCAAGAGGTAATTTAGTCATTAACCACTCAATTTGCTGTCGTAATGAAGACCATTATTCCCCATAATAACACAGCAATGTCGGAGCTGTCCTTGCATCCTTCAGCCTCCCACGAACGTTCTTAATTGCCCTCATATTCCTTTCCTTATATCCCTTTCATGGAAGAAAATACCTTTTTTAGCAAGAATAGTCGCAATCAGTGTGCAGTAGATGGAAAGGCTTTTTTTCTTATTTTGGTTAATGAGGAAGATACGCCTTTGCTCCTCACTGTAATCAGAAAGAGCTCAGGGTCTTGGTTAGAGCTCCCTGTCTGCTTATGTGGGTTTAAAAGGCATTACGTTGACTGTAAACCTTACACATGCACAAAAACATCAGCTTCCCAGAATGTGCTGCTTATTTTATGGTCTTGATTAGAGACGTTCAGTATGAGCTGTTTACTGCAGGTTTACCCTTGTATAGGCTTCCTATGTTATACATCAGAGAAGAATGAAACCTTCATTGCACTAAGACGAGCTGGCAGAAAGGGTTTTGCAAATTTAGAAGTATGCTTAACAACTTTGTATTTTCAAAATAGACTAGTCAGTGTTAAGGAAGCCCTATGTCAGGGGGCTGGTGCTCACTTGTAGGCCTCAGAAAACTTCCAAGGGAGCCTCAAGATGACTTAAAACAAACATTGAAGTGCAACAGTTGGGTTCCAGAAGTAAAAACTTAATTAATTTTCTCCATAGGCATATTGATTTTTGAACTTATTTTCAAGTTTGACTATTGAAGACTAGTCATTTTTAATTTGATTCTGTCATTCAAATTATTCATGCGATTGTAGTTCTTTCCCTCACTAAAGACGTTAAAGGATTAGTTCACCAAAAAATTTAAATTCTGTCATTAATTACTCGCCCTCATGTCGTTCCAAACCCGTAAGACCTTTGTTCATCTTCGGAGCACAAATTAAGATATTTTTGATTAAATCCGAGACCTCTCTGACCCTCCATAGACAGCAAGGGAACTTCCACGGTCAAGGCACAAAAACGTAGCAAGGACATCGGTAAAATAGTCCATGTGGTATCAGGGGTTCAACTGTAAGTTTACGAAGCTAAAGACGTTATTCAACAATTCTTCTCCTCCTCATCCCGTCTGCAGTGACGTGCCGCCATTACGGAGACAGTATCACGACGCGTGCGGTTCATGTAAGCAACACATGTGCGTGTTACGTAAGCAGCAGCGCCATGCGCATGTGTTGTTTACATGATGCGGAAGCACGCGCATGCGTCGTGATACTGTCTCCGTAATGGCACGTCACTGCAGACGGGATGAGGAGGAGAAGAATTGTTGAATAAACTCCTTATTTTTGTTTTCTTTGCGCACAAAGTATTCTCGTAGGTGTCTGATTTTTAGCTGTCTTAGAAGTCTGATTTTCAAATACTTTTCTGCTCTATAAAAAAGTTTGGAATGCTGTGATTCACCTCGTAGCTGGTTTGCTTAGTTCATGGCTCATAATGCTTTAACAAAGACCTTTTTTTAGATCCCTATGGGGAAAAGGAATGAAAAAAATGCTTCCGGAACCAATGCAGGAATTTCCCCCCTTAATAATTGTTGCTTGGAGAATGTGGATATACAGTGCCGCCCATTAATATTGGCACCCTTGGTAAATATGAGCGAAGGTGGCTGTGAAAATAAATCTGCATTGTTTATCCTTTTGATCTTTCATTCAAAAAATTTACAAGATTCTAAACTTTCATTGAAGTAAAACAATGGAAAGTGGGGGAAACTCACATTATGAAATAAATGTTTTTCTCTAGTTCACGTTAGCCACAGTTATTGGCACCCAATTATTGCAACGGCCTTTTCCCAAGATAACAGTTCTGAGTTTTCTCCTATAATGCCTGATGAGTTTAGAAAACACCTGACGAGATCAGAGACAATTCCTTCATCCAGAATCTCCAGATCCTTCAGAATACCAGCTCCATGTTGGTGCTTCTTCTCTTCAGTTCACCTCACTCATTTTCTACAGAGTTCAGGTCAGGGAACTGAGACAGCCATGGCAGAAGCTTAATTTTGTGCTCGGTGACACATTTTTGTGTTGATTTTGGTGTTTGTTTTGGATCCTTGTCTTGATGGAAGATCCAAACATGGTCCATTATAAGATTTCTTACAGAGGCAGTCAGGTTTAGATTTTTTATCTGTTGATATTTGATAGAATCCATGATGCCATGCATCTGAACAAGATGTCCAGGACCTCCGGCAGAAAAATAGGCCCATAACATTGCAGTATATTTAACCGTGGACATGGGGAACTTTTTATCCCTGTTTGCACCAAACCCATCTGGTGGGTTTGCAAAAAGCTCTTTTTTATGTTTCATCTGACAATAGAAGCCAGTGCCGTTTGAAGTTCCAGTCGTGCCTGACAACTGAATATGCTAGAGTTTGTTTTTGGATGAGCCAGGAGTTTTTTTTCTTGAAACCCATTTGAACAACATGTGGTGATGTAGGGGCTGTTTGATATATATATTTTAGGCTTTCTGACCACAAGATTCAACTAATCTCTGCAATTCTCCAGCTATAATCCTTGGAGAGTCTTTGGTAGGGCTGAACGATTTTGGAAAATAATCGAATTGCGTTTTTTTTTTTACCAATATTGCGATTTAATATGCAATTCTTTTTTTAAAGCTCTTTATGTTCTGTATTATTCAACAAAGACAAGCTATTAATCATTGAATAGTATGACCAACACAATATTAGATAGATTAAACATAAATGTTCTTTTCTTTAGGCCAGGCCTATATGTTACGTTGAAATTAGGTGATGCATGAATTGATATGAATGACATTTTTATTTAACAACTACAGTCACAGTATATTGACTGATTTGTTGAACTTCCAACCTTGTAAGCATGTAATAACTATGACAACATAAAGCACTGATAAATAAGCCTGGTGTAAACATTAATATGAAAGTCAGTAACAAATCACACAAACTAAAGTAGATTGCAGAAATATAAAAACAAATCTGTTGCTTTACCACACTACTTTAGGTAATTCAAAGTCACTGTAATAAACATATGTAAACGTGTG